AGTATATATATATATATATATATATATATATATATATATATATATGAATTTTTAATATGTAATTATTATATAATATATAATGAAATAATTCAATTGGAAAATATTTATAGTAAATACATATAAGAATGTGAAGCATAAATATGCTATATAAAGAAAATGTAATTTTGACAAATACTCACTTGACAATAGGTTTAGAAGTTTCATATACCAGTGATTGGTTAAGATCTGTAGCATGTAAAACACCCTGTCGCTTGATCCACAACATCCTCATCAAGGACCTAACATCTCTACCTATAAGCTTAATCCTCTTGCTCTTCGTATAGCCCAAGGTATCAGTCATTAATTTTATAAAACCATTAGAAATATTTTTTCTCGAACAGAAAAAGTATTTGTGCCCCAAGAATAAAGCAAAATAGAATGGTGTAACAGACATAGATTGTCTTTTCTTTTTCTTCTCTTTGATATATACAAATGTGACATCGTTATATGTTACAACTTTTACATTTACTTGTATAGCATTTGAAGAAAAATTCTTTGTGATATTTTCTTCAAGCTCTCGTTTTCCAACATAATTCACTAGTTTACTTGGATTCGTTAATTCATAACCATACCATATTTTTCTTTTGTTGTGCCTGCTTACATCTAGAACATTATATATTATTTATATATAAATAAAAATTAATAACTCTCTCTCTCTAAAATAAATCACGAATGCATTTGTAAACACAATTTAATTACTATTTTACCTGTTACCTCCAGTATAGCCAACCTGTCGTATAGCTCTTTTTCTTTTAATTGTGCCCTCTACATGAGTTAAACATAAAAACGTTATTATAACGTAAAATTTACATAAAATTATATGCATTGAGATGGTTCTTACATTAAGTGATTCTTCAATGACGCGTACGGCATTAGTAGTGGTAAAATTCTTGTGGTTTCTAACTAATTTTGATTTGACACGACTCCAAAATATTTCCGGAAAAATGGGCATCACATCGCGTTCCAACTCCTCGAATTTAAATCTTTTTATCACCGTGCTTATTTGACGCTGAATAATCGACAATGATGCTACAATATTTAACAATAAAACAATTATTTAATCATAAACACACCGGTCACATAACCTGCAAAATACTTCAAAGTAAATCACGCACTTTACGTTTATACTAACCCATATTCGTTGTTACAAATAACCATATATGTAATACTACTATGGGTGCGTTCGGGGAGACGCTATTCGTGCTATTTTATATGGACAGCGGAACTCTCAGCGGTAGCGCTACGGTGCAAACGATGCTCGTCTGTCTATCTGTTCAATCAAAGAGAAACCTGTGAGCGGCCACAACAGATGTCTATAGCAGTGCTGAGAGTTCGCGATATATTTTGGCGCACGCGCATTGAGCAAACTCTGTGGTAACCTCTGTGCCGTATCTATTTTAAGATATCGTAAGATCCCTCACCTAAAAGAAAATATGAAGAGATTGTAGGGAGAAAGTTTGTGGGAAGAAACAGAATGCTGTTCATGAGTAAAAATAAATATAGTTTTTATTTTGTAATTTCTGCAGCCGACCAATCTTTGAAAATATTCATATTTAACCATGCATATTGGAATTTTTTTCTAGCACATTTCCTCTTCTTTGCCTCAATGCCACTTGATGACGAAGGCTGGTGTTGATTTCTCCATTTCTTTCTTGAATACGACACTTTTTTCTTTAATTAACTTAATATTATAATTGCACTTTTCTTTATCACAATATCACTTTATATTAAAATTGCATTTTTTTATCACATTTTATTTATTAATATATACTATATATACATATTATAATATCACATTTTACATAGCTATACTAATTATTATAACTATATTAATTATACTAATTTATTATTATATCATTTCACTACCTATCTAACCTAACCACTCGCGGGCAAATAACACAGATAGACGGCCGACTATTTTGTGCATGTCCTCTAAGAACCTCTACTCGTGCCTAAAGCCCATTCTACAATTGCGTAAGTGTAGTCGTGAACGTAAGGGTCAACCAATCCGAATGTTTTATTCACTGATTGCTTTACTCTGATTGGTTGTCGTAATCACTTACAACCACTTACATCCACGCAATTGTACGTTCACGCAATTGTAGAATGGGCTTTACGCCGTCATTGGAAACTGCTTACGTCGAGCTGCTACGTCATTTCACGCATACGCATGTCATCTAGAAAATATCGCGAACTCCCAGCACTGGTCTATAGGCCAAATCACACTAGCGATTGGTGATTGATGATTGACGATTAAAGATTGGAACTTGACCAATTGGAACATAGCAAGCCAAGGTTAAAGCTTGTTGATTCATCAAAATCTAATCTTCAATCGTCAATCGTCAATCGTTAATTGCTAGTGTGATTAGGCCTTTAAAGGCCAAATCACACTAGCGATTGGCGATTGATGATTGACGATTGAAGATTAGAACTTGACCAAAGCAAACCAAAGTTGAAGGTTGTTGATTCGTCAAAATCTAATCTTCAATCGTCAATCGTCAATCGTCAATTGCCAGTGTGATTTGGCCTTTGTTTGTATCAGGCTACCAACTGCACAGGTCGACTCGACTGTCGACTACGGCTACGTTCCGAAATTCACTGCCAGTACTGAAATTCTATAATATACGTAACATGAACTATAGATTTTCAGTACTGGCAGTGCATTTCGGAACGCAGCCTACGACTGCCGACTCCAGTTGGTCAATCACACTTAAGCCAGCGGCACGCGATACTTGTTTTCATGCTGGATTGCTTGCTGGATGGAAATACTCTTTTCTGATTGGTGCATTTCTGAAGATGGATGGAAATACACTAATCAAAACAGAGTATTTCTATCCAGCAAGCAATCCAGCACGAAAACAAGCACCGTGTGCCGCTGGCTTTATTGACGTTTGCTGCCGGCTGATTGTACTAGTGACATCTGC